ACCAATAGGCCTAAGCCATTCCCGATTTCGATCTAGTCAACACTTCGCTTGACAACACAATTTTCTTGAAGACTTCAAGAACTTTACAAGACAACTTGATCCACACTTCTTTGTTAGGATAGTGTAAAGTTGTATCAAGAATCGAGGGAGGTTGAACACAAACATTTTCTTCTTTCAGATTTTGTAAATTTCAAAATTTTTAATTTATACACACTTTTAATAAAAAAAATATCCATTCACAGCATGAAATATTTGAAAATGCATTTGAATTTTTGATTGAGAATAACAAAAACGCAAATGTAGGGACACAGAATCAAAGCTGGAAAATCAAGATGATTTATGGTTTACGTATATTATACTGATAATTCTTAATATATGTTTATATTTGAATATTATAATATATTCAGATTTATATGATGTAACAATTACTAGACCTATAATTGGTCGTTGTCAATCATTTTAAAAATCATACAAAGTTATGTTGCACTTGACCTTCCACATGAACATAAACATTTTTTTCTACACTGGACTAAAAATAAATCAAGAATTTCCAACAACTGAATGTTCACCCGCCTTAATGCTCTTGGGGTAGCTTAACTTTCATATTGTCCTCAAAACAGCAATTATTGTATGATATTATTTACTCTTTATATGAAGAAGACTGGTGAGACAGGTAAAAGGTAAAATGTGTTCTGAATTGTCGTCAAAAATTTATCTTAACAATAGAAGTAATTAAACGAAAATCGTGTTATAAATATCCTATGTCATTAACAAAAATATCCTCCAACTTTCATTGCATATTTCAACATAATTTCAGGAATAAAAAAAACAAACTGTTATTTATTTTCTGCAAAACGAACCAGAATTAAGCAGTTTGGGTATTTTTCGAAATTCGAGTGTATAAGACGTCATTTGAATTGCCATTTTGAGCTAATTAACACATTTCAAATTTAACGACTAAATTTTCCGATTTAAAGTGATCAAATTAGTGTTCTATTGTCATTTTACATAGTTGTACTACGCTCAGTAAAATATTCAGAAATCCTAGGCCTTTCTCCTATGTAAACGACATTAAGAAATAAATAATTAAAAAAAAAAAAGAATATCCGCCATTTGGACTTTGAACTTACATCTGCACTATCATTCAATTGTAGAATGGTGAGATGTAGAGGGGAATATACAATTCTGCAGTGTATGGATATTTGTAAATGTTAAATCCTGAAACAAAGAAGAATATAGAAACAATAGACAAAAAATCAGAGAAAATTCGAATTAAGACTAGAAACGACTAAATTTTCTGAGTTTAACTAATAATGTTAGCATCCTATTATAATTTTTATAGTTTTATTACACTCAGTTAGATATTCACTCATTACTTCTCCATTTTGAATGACATTAAGAGAAAATTAGAAAAATTGGATGTCCGCCATTTTGAATCGCCATTTTGACCTCTTTAACGCCATTTTCATGAAGGCCAGCATATTTTTTCGGATTCAGCATACTCGAAATAGGTTAAAAACTATGCTGGACCAAATAATAATTATTTGCCGTTAGAAGTTATTTCTAGCCTTCTTTTTAAATATCAGGACCAGACTATAATGACTATAGTAATAATATGATTAAGGAATGAAGCTTATTTCTACTTTTGTTATACGATATAGCATAACTTGTGGCAGTTTACCCTTTATAAACCGCAAAGCGGTTTATAAAGCGTAAACTGTCCCAAGTTATGTTATATCGTGTATTATAAGTTAAAATAAGCGTCATTCCCTGATAATTTAATTCAGTGTAGACGATGAGACAATTATACCTTCGGAAAAAGGCTCCAAATACAGCATATTTTAAAAGTAACGTTTTCGACGTAACTCATTGTGACGTAGGCCAGTTATATTATACAAAATATTATATGTTCCTCTGAATGACTCAGCCAATGAAATTGCTTGATACAAGTGAAATTTAGTTATTTTAAAATAATCATTATCGGTATCATGTATTTTTTTTAATTTACTGAAAATTTCGGTAAAAATTAATAGATAAGCGAACTCCTGTGCGTGGACAAAAGCATTGTCTATACAAAGGATTTCATACTTCTCAATCCAATGAACACTTATTTTTGTGGATCTGCTTAACAAGGAATTTTTCGAAAATTGTTCCTCAACGAATATTGAACACATGGTATACAAGCAATCAACCAATCATTCAAGAATGCTTTGATCTTTTACGATATGTCAGTTTGTAGAGCGCTCGCTCAGAGACCGGGAAGTCGTTAGTTCGAATCTGAGCCGAGACGGACCAAAATGGAAAAAAAAAAAACATGCGTAGCAATTGTTCCTTCGCCATGCGCTGGGCACTTTAGATTTAAAACTGTGGGTCCTTCGGATGAGACCTTAAAAACCGAGGCCAAAAGTTACGGCACGCGTTTGCATGATCAAGATCTCCCACAGCTCAATGACTCTGAGTCCCGAGTAAAGTCAAAATTTTAAGCTCTTCACCAGTATATGGTGACGACTCTATGCGAATGAAAAAACATCTGGAATGGGACGTTAAAAACAAACAATTAATCAATCAATGCTTGTGGAGGGTTTGGTAAAAATGTGTCGAGTGAATCTTGAGAAGAGGTCGTAAATGTAAAAGCTAACAAACGGACAGACGGACAGACAGACGGTCGCTAGACAAAATGTAATCAGAAAAGCTTAGCTGAGCTTTCATGATTGTTTTTAAGATTATCTTATATGAGTGTAAGATACTCTACCTAATGAAATATGTCAAGAGATTCAAAAAGAAAATTTATAAAAATATTTTTTTTAATTTGAAATGTTAAATAATAAAGGTTATAGCATTGAATAAATGCCTGCGATTTGGCATGCTGACCGGTACAAACTGGTCAACGTAATGTAGTTGTTGTAAGTACCTTGGCATTGGCGTCTTCGTCGGGATGATAGCCATACTCTAAATAATAGTACTCGTACTCGATTCCAGAAAATTCTATCTTTTGGTAAAGGAACAGTGCAAAAGATTGTAAACCATCTGTAACTAGAACTACTTGGAACGTATTTTGCTGAAAGATGAAAGATAAAAAAATATTTGAAATCTGAGATATACATAATTATCATTCAGCACATGGTTTCATACGTTAAATAATATTAAACAATGCCTGTCTCATATCCTGCAATTCTCTAACCTCTTTCCGTGTAAAAACGATTTTATTAATGGAAATAAGTCACGTTACATGTACGAAGTTCACTTTTTACAGCACTGCAATCTCGGAATGGTGGTTTTCCTTCACGCATGTCATCCTGTAAACTGTTCCTTCCGTCCGAAAATATTATATATCACTTAAATACTAACGTACGGCTCCTTTTACTATGTTTTTTCGAAAGTTTACAAAATGTATTAGTCTCTGCATGTGTTTATCCGATGTCTACGCAGAATTTTATCACCGCTCACTGCTCCACCTATTCCGAAAACGTCCTTTTTTAAGAACAATTCCGATCCGTCTTAACATGTTCTAACTTTGATTGCTCAGCCATTTTTACAACTTTGAATGTTCAAATTTTGCAGGTGTGAAGTGATAACTTTTGTCAACCTCATAATGTAAAAGTCATCCAGATTTCTGCATTATTTTATAAAATACAAATGAAATTCATAAAGTGATGAATAACTTTTTACTTAAAATTTTGCGGTGCTCCAGGTCTCCATACCAAGTCTTAATATGAAGTCATAATTGTAATTAAACATTTGAAATTGAATCAGATTTAACATTTCTCAGTTCGGATTAAAAATATGCTCATAATAAATATCAATGACGCAACTTTTATTCAATTCTTAGCTTGTCCACGAACTTTACGAACAACCCTCGTATATGCCTTATATTTGCATAAAGTTCCATGGGACAAATTTCCAGGGAAAATCTGTGAACTCGTACATAGCATTAATTAATACCACGCGGAAAAAATACTTCTACAGTATACAAGATATCCATATACTGCTTGCCTTGTGTAAAAACATTTCATTTTTTCTCAATTTTCCGTCTTTACATAAGGAAAATTTAATGTAAAGAATACAAATTGGTTTGGGGCAGTCATCAACCTAAGAAAAATTATACACAATACTAAACAGCAAAGAGGGCATGAAACATGGATCCCTGGAAATTTCAGAGGTGGGTTCTCGTGCCAGGCAAGAGTAAATATCCCCTGTCCACCGGCAGTTGATCAGGTGGATGAAATATCCGTAGCCAATTTTGTAACATTATCGAAAATTATTTTATGTACGAATTGATTTGATTTGCATAACGCATGTTCGTTTTTGGATTGATTCTACTGTTCTTAGAGTCCTACTGGCGGACCTAGCATACTCATACTGAACACACGATGACAATACATGGTGTCAGAAGTCAGCCATAGTTCTGACAGGTGTGCATACTCCCAAAATGGATTGGGAAGCGAGAACTTACCGGAACAATGGAAAAAATTCCGGACACACGTGGATCTCATATTCCACAATCGGAGAAAAATGAAGAGACTAAGGTTTCGTACTAACTGTTTTAAGTTGGCGACAAGGGCCGCGAGATATACAATACTTGGACAGACATGTCAAATGATGATAAGAAGAAACTCGAGCCGCATTACAAACGGTACAAAGCACATGTTCAGCCAAAATTAAACCCTATTTTTGCGAAGTTCAAGTTTAATAATGAAAACCAGGGAAACTCCTCAATAGAACAGTTTGTGACACGTTTAAGAGTACTCGCAGAAGACTGTAACTATGGTAACAGCAAGGATGAAATGATCCGTGACAAAATTATTTTCGGCACATCTTCGCAAAAGGTCAGAGAGAAGCTCATCGCCGAAGGAGAAAAGTCGACCCTAGAGAAGGCAATACAGATTGCACATTCGTATGAATATTCAAAACAACAGCTAAAGACTGTCGTCACAAGAGGTCCATGCAGTTAGTCATGCGCGACACACGAGCGTGGTAGTTCTAAGCACTCGTCCAAGCATATGTCCAAGGATACAGAGCAGAAAAAGATTCCCGCAAGCCCAGCCAAGGAATCAGCACAAGATGAAGACACAAAAGTGTGATAAGTGTGGGTATGACCATTCATAGCATGCAAAATGTCCGGCGAAAGGGAAACAATGTAAAAACTGTAATGGTTGGAACCATTTTGCTACGAAATGTTTTTCTAAGAAAGTTTCATTTCATGAATTACAAGCTTTGCCGGAGCAGTTAGATTCAGACCCAGAATTTTTCATTGATATTAATGAAACCAATCACAACAATGATCAAGCATTTTGTAAATTGTTTATTGGTCCAAAAAAAAGTCGATCAAATTCAAATTAGAATACTGGTTCACAGGCCTATGTATTACCAAAGCATCTACTCGACTCATTGAATGTGTCCCATGTTTACAATCTAATGCAAACTGATCAAAAGTTGTCCGCCTACAATGGTAACTCCCTATGTTTACTTGGATGCCCAAAGCTTGCATACTTACAAAGGTCAATCACTGAACCTTACATTTCATGTTGTCGAGACTACCTCCCCTCCCATTTTAGGGATGCGAACATGTTTAGATTTGGTCTGATCAAATTTGTAAATTCGTGCGACCTAGATACAGTTGAAAACAATAAACAAGCTACTAGTAGTAAGCCCATGAATGTTAGTCAGGTCTTGTCAGAGTTCTCAGAGGTATTTGAGGGGATTGCTCTTTTCCAGGGGGATTGTACAATACACACTGACCCTAACATACACCCGGTCGTACACCCACACAGAAGGGTACCATTGGCCCTGTAAGATAAGTTAAAAGCTGAGCTAGAGAGAATGGATTCTAAGAATATTATTTGCAAGGTCACTAAGCCTACTTAGTGGGTGAGTTCACTCGTTGTTGTTGAAAAGCCCAACGGCAAACTCCGTGATTGCCTTGACCCCAAAGACCTTAATAAGGCAATACTTAGATCCCATTATCCAATTAAAACACTAGAGGATGTTCTACCACAGCTCTCAAAAGCTTTGTTCTTCACTAAGTTAGAGGCTAAAAGTGGGTATTGGACCATTAAATTGTCAGAAACATCCACCTACAGCACCTCACTACATTCAATACGCCATTTGGACGCTACAGGTATCTCAGACTCCCTTTAGGACTCAAGTCATCACAGGATGAGTTTCAGACAAAGATAGATGAATGTTATGAAGGTCTTAATGGTGTCGTAGCTCTGGTCGATGATATTCTTGTATTTGGTCAAACTAAAGAAGAGCACGACAGGAACTTGCGTTCTTACAAGGTCAAAAGAGGTGTTAAGCTGAACAAAGATAAGTTAGAGGTTGGGGTCACAAAGGTCAAGAACTTTGATCATTTACTAACCTCCGAGGGTGTGGGTCCAGACCCTGATAAAGTTTCTGCAGTCCGAGACATGAAACCCCCAAGGGATAAATCAGAATTAGAAACCTTTCTTGGAATGGTCACTTATTCAGCCAAATTTGCACCCAATTTGTCTGAAATAACAAGTCCCCTTAAAATGCTACTTGCTAAAGATGTGATATTTCATTGGGATAGTTCCCAGGTTGAAGCATTTGACAAGGTCAAGGACCTAATCACTAATAGCCCTAGTCCTGTATTAGCTTACTTTGACCCTCACCTCACAAGGTCACAACACTTCAGTGTGATGCATTAAAATACGGTCTTGGTGCGACTTTAATGCAAGAAGGTAAACGAATAGCGTTTGCGTCCAAGAGCCTCACTGCAGTACGCTCAGATAGAAAAGGAAATGTTTGCAATCTTTTTTGGTTGCAAGCGATTCCATCAATATATCTATGGTCGAAAGGTCAAAGTTCAGAGGGATCACAAGCCATTAATTGCTATTTTCAAGAAAGCACTATTTGCTGCCCCACCTAGATTACAACAGAAGTTGTTACAATTACAGAACTATTACCTGGAAATGGACTATGTTCCAGGGAAACAAATTCCAGTTGTTGACTCTTTGTCACGCAATTTTGTAGATGAAACATTCCAAAGTTTTCTAAAGACATGGAAGCCCATGTACACTCTGTACTGGCAAACCTTCCTATCATGATCTGTGACAGAAAGCTGAAAGAGATTGAGAGAGAATCAGTTGCTGATGACAATTTAAGTTGCCTAAGCACATCATAATGGTTGGCCTGAATGTCATAGAGACTGCCCCTATCAAAGTATAGAACTCTGGAATCACAGAGATGAACTGACCATCACAGATGGTATCTTGCTTAAGGGTACCACAGTTTTGATTCCCCACTCACTTAGAGCTAAGATACTAGAATGTATTCACATAGGTCACATGGGTATTGAGAAATCACTCAGGATCGAGGGCACGCACATCAGTATTTTGGCCGAAATCTCATCTGATATCAAAGACTTAGTGTCACATTGTGATGTACATCTAAAGAACAGATGCTCAAACCCAAAGCAACCCCTCCAACCACACCCGGTACCTGATTATCCCTGGAAGATTGTTGCCACAGATTTGTTCTTTTGGGACAACAAAGATTTTTTGATTGTCACTGACTACTAGAGTCGACACTTTGAAGTCGTTCAGCTTCGAAATATCAAGAGCAAAACAATAATTACAAAGCTTAAAAGCATGTTTGCTAGGTTAGGCATCCCCAAAAAAGTAGTGTCAGACAATGGCCCCAAGTATTCTTCTCAAGAATTTGCAAGTTTTTCAAGAGAGTATGACTTTATTCATGCAACTTCCTCCTCAAGGCATGATCGATCCTCAGTCAAACGGTTTAACAGAAAATTCAGTACAAATTGCCAAGCGTATTTTCGAGAAAGCCAAAGTTGATGACCGTGACCCATATTTAGGTATTCTCGAGTACCGAACTACCCCATTAGAAGTTAGTTATTCTCCATTTGAGCTCTTCCAGGGTAGACAATTACGCTCAACCTTACCAACTCTTACTGATTAACTTATCCCAAAGGTCATTAGGGCCCCGCAAGGATTTGCGGGTGCCCTATAGTAATCACTCTGTCTGTCTTTCCGTCTGTCTGTCCGTCTGTCATTCTTCCGTCCTCACATTTTCTGTTTTTTTTTCGTAATAACTTTTTGTGGTTGCCCAATTCATATCAAATTTGGTATGGTAGTTAGATAGGCAGAAAGACATATTTTGATGCTAAGTTTGTTTCTCTATTTCCCCTGGTTTGGAGCTGGGGTGGTGGAGTAGATTCCTTAACTTTATATAATTGGCAAAGAGAGATGCTGAAGATGTTCCCATTGTAAACTGAATGATCCTATGAATCCCTTGGAATTAATTAGCTTTCCTCCTGAAGAAAATCCAAAGCATTTTTTTCTTTATCTGTCATATTGAGATTAATTACCACCTCTGTCTGCAATTGACGTTAAGTCTATTTGGAATGCTATGAACACTCTGAAATGTGGATTTAAATATAAATTTTTATACTTTATTTTCCTTAAAATAGTAATGATTTCGTTGAATTCTAAAAACAAGAATAGATTAAAGAAGATACATTTTTTATTTATACTTTTTTTCCTTTTATGTAATTTCAAGAATATTATTAATTTTTAATGTAGTTGTATAAAAACCCCATTCTATCATTAATACTGAAAAAAGTTCTTATTGTAAATTGAGAAGAAAATGATGAGAGAAGTACAATTAATCCCTTGGGATGAATTATCCAGCCTGCTGCAGAAAATTTAGTAGGCTTTTCTTTATCTGTCACTTTAAGATTAATGAAAACCTTTGTCTGCAACTGCTTTTTGTTTTGAAGTTGAGGTCAAACCTTCATGATATTTGCATTCATTGAAGGCTGGCATTTTTTATAACATAAGCGTCATTATTGTTTAAATATACATTCAATGAAAAGTTGTTCTTTACTGCCTAATGTAAATATAAGGATATTATTTACAAGTTTTTGAATATTCAGGAATTTTAAGAATACACTTGCTATTCCTTATTCTTCGTACATTTTTAATCATTCCGTAAGCTGCACCCTTATGGGGGATGTACAAGCCATATTGGATCTAGTCTGGTGTAAAATAAGAAATACCAAGAATGCGCTTAATACTCTACTAATCTAGCCCAAAGTTACCCAAAGTGATAATGCACTAATTAACTTCTGTTAGAGACCAAAATTAGTGAATAATTAAGTTTATTTTGTTTTAATTAGGAGAAAATTAATCATGTTAGAAATGCGCAGCTACAGCATTCACGAGAGAAAAATGCATTGAAAATGGTGTTAGTTTGATTCATTGATAATATGGCTACAACCATTTGTTTCGCTTTTTTCTTGTCATTATCCATAATTCTTGAAAATTTGATTTTTCATGTTGGTGTCTTCCTGAGGCCATGTGTTTATTTCGTCCGCCATTCCTCTGTCACACACAGTTCGAATAACATTTATTTTAGAATAAATGCAACCATAATAACATCAAGACAAGAAATTACTAAGTTATAATCATTAGGTTATATTACTTACTACTTTTATTTGTTGCATCGCATCGTCTGATTAATGAAAAAACGCGATTTTAACCCCACTCCAGCAAATCGGGAAAAACTGTTCTGTTTACAGTTCGAATTTCCTCGTTAATATCATTACACTGAGCACGTGGTTGGCATGTGCATATATCTGCTGTGGATAGATGCGTTTATTACCATGATTATATTTAATTTTCCATGGAACAAGTCTTGGTAATTTGTTGGTTTCTTTAACGTTTAAAACTCAAGAAAAAAAAAATAAAAAATGTCCTAAACATATGTGTTTACGTCGGGTCTTTTTTCTGTGGCGATAGAAGTTATTTCAAATGGGGCACTGCAAGGAGGATGCTTAGCATTTAATTTGACAATGTTAAACAATATGCGGTGCATAAAAAACTAATTGTAATTACATGTTTTACATTCGAAAAGTTGGTACATATGTCTATTTTGTTTAGCAGTTAGATAGAAAAAATAGGCAGTTATAGGATTTCCTTCAGGCACCTCACATAAATAGCTTGATTGTTTGCAATGACCCACACATTGTATGGAGTAATGTTTAGACATAAAAACGCATCATGTCTCATTATGTTGACAATGTTGTAAGCTCTCGCTCATTGAACATACAAAGCTTGATAAAATATATTTAGTTGTTTCTTTGAAATTTAGAAGCAAGCACAATGTTTGCAAAGAAAGGTCCATTGCATATATGCTATGTCTATCCTCGCAAAAAAAAAATGAGAAGCTACCCCCCCCCCCTCTCCCGAAAATCCTATGTATGTTTTTCAAAATAGTGCCAAAGATTAAAAATTTTTGCATTACTAAGTATGTGATGGAACATGTACTAGCCTTATAAGACCACTTGTTACAAAACATTTTTGGTTGCCCATTCTCCCGATCTACTATAGCTGCCTAGAATTGGTCCGACTCAATTTTTTTAAATCCAATTACACTATATATTTTTTTTTCTTCCGTCAACAAATATGTTTAAATTTTAAGGAATTTTTTTCTGACCTATAAATACGGACCCAATAATTTTTCCCTGAGTTGGGAGGACCACCAAACGTCATTTTAAAGATTGTTGGGTTTTTTTCTTTACTCTGTAAAATTGTAATTTTGACAAAATGGGCAAATAGAAAAATAGTTTTTTATTCATTAAATCTCCTAACCCACTCTGAATGATTTCATTCCTTTTCAAATGTTGCTCCGCTGTAATTAAAATTGTAAATGTTTTTTTGACAGAGTATATGAGGGGTGATCTAAAAGTAAACGATATCTTAGGTATTTGATAGTTATATTATTGCTGAAATATTCAAGTATTTTTCAAAGTGTAAATTGGAGATCTTTGATAGCATATTACTTAATTAAAAACACATCCTTTTCAAACTTGCTTTCACCGGGCAACATAACAAGTATCATTTTCAATCATCTGCCTTCCTTCACTAAAATGATCTATCCAATCATTGATTGAATTTATAGGAAGTCATTTGTCTTAATAAACTATGAACAAATTCTTATACGCTGCTTCAAAGGCAATTTTAAGATATGCCATAAATATTTTAGTCGTTTAATTGTTGAACGAGTTCCACTGAGACAACCATTTTTCGTCACAAATACCTGCATAATGACGTCATTTTCACATTGTGAGTAAAACTTTATTCAGCATATGCTATTTATAGAACTTGTGTGTGCACCAAATTTGTTTCTAATCTGAATTGTGGTTTTGTAGATATAGAGACAGTTCGCGAACTTTTTGATCACCCCTCGTATTAGTAGGTACTAACACAAGGTCATTCATATCGATTTTATGTGTTTAATTTCTTTGTGTTTCATTGGTGATAATTAAACTATTGATAGATATTATAAGTTATCTGTGGCAAACTTACAAACTCTTAATTCTTAACTTTGATGGTGCTCATTTTTCCTTACTTGGAATCAAAGAGTTTAAGATTTTTTAATTTATATCAATACGTACACTATTTAACAACTTTTCGATAATAATACTAAATAAATTACTTCAAGCCACACTATAACACATTTCCTCTTTTGAAAGTGTTCATTTTATTTGAAATATTTTGCAACTGTAACTATCTTCTACATTTAAAGATTGTTATGTCCCTCCATATTAAGAAGAGGTCTGGAAAACAAAATTCTGTGCTAAAAAAAGACCACGTGCTGCTATCCATGAACTACTTTCATGGTTCTTTACACTCTTTTTGAAGAAAACGATTCCTTATTTTGAACTTGAAATTATCATTTAAAAGTGCGAAATTTAGACATTTTCTCAACAAATGGTTGTAGAGAGAACATTAATGCACAGTTTGCGTATTTGTTTTGGATTTTTTAAGGCTCTGCTGAATTCTGTAGCTGCACAGTTCTAAGGAGCTTATCAAAAGCATTTTTCTGCAAACGTATAGATTATATATGCACAACATGCATTCAGTTATGCATATTTATTGTATCTTTATTATAAAGACTTAAAATTTGATCAAAATATAATGTATTTTAGCCATTTGAAGAAATGTTTACATTTTGTTCTCACTGCACTAAAGGTGGCCTTACATCCCCCTTATAATTCTACCCCATGGCGGGGCCCTTGCTGACTGGTCAGTTTTCTAGTTGATCACCAAAATGTCAAGGTCATGTTAGCCAAAAACCATGAACACAAAAAGCAGTATTTTGACAAGCAGTCAAAACCACTTGCCCCTATTGAGATAGGAGATAGTGTTAGATTTCAACAGGATGACAAAACTTGGAAGCCTGCTACTTTGTTTTCTAAAGTAGATGATAGGTCATACATCATCAATGCCTCTAATGGTGGTGCTTACCGTAGGAATAGGCGCCATCTAATGAAAACAAATGAACCTACTTGCAGTTTTGATGCTAATATGCCTATTCTGGCTGATGCGCAAGCAGATGACTCAAAGTTTAGCCCCATTAAACACACATCAACCAAACCGCCTGCCTTTTCCCCACCCATTCTAAACTTTGAAATGTCCCCATCCAAAAATGTAAACAAACCCTATATTACACGCTAAGGCAGAGTTTGTGTTCCAAGGATGTGATGTTTATTTAATTG